CAAGTCATAAAAAGTAACAAGCACTAAAATTTAATCCTTTGATTACTGGAAAATCCTGATTCCCTAGTTTAAAGTTATCACGACTAGGGCTTGGTGGTAGATCTTATACCAGTAACGCACCACAAAAAAAGATGATCTCCCAATGTTACTGGTTTGAAAAGATAAAAATTTACAAAATGGAACGAACTCACCAAGTTTAGCCAATTGAACCTGAATGCTACCTGACATGTGTTGATGTAGAAGTCCAAATTGTAGACAAAGCTTGATGAAGATCAACATGAACTAGTCCGGTTTATGGTAGTTGCGTGCAATGTCTTCCGTCGAGATAAACAAATGATGTATTTAGTTGATTTTTGATCGTGGCCAATAGTCAGGTTCAACGCTGTGACTCAACGAATGATGGGACGCCTCATGGAGGTTCTACTTGGCTTCTGAACAGCTTCTCAGCGGCAAATAATTGGCAAGCCTTTTCTTGGCCAATAGTCAGGATCAACTCTGCGACTCAACGAATGATGGAACTAATGATGGGACGCCTCGTGGAGGTTCTACTTGGCTTCGGAACAGCTTCTCAGCGGCAAATAATAGGGATTGAGAAACTAGAAATTGTCTCCTGGGCCTGGTTTTGGCCGGATCAGCAATGGATTATAGATAAAAAAAAACTCCACGGAAAAAAACAAACGTCAGGTTCGATCACACACACAGCCTACTCCTCACTCCAATTGAGCTCTATTAGAGTTTTGACTAGAATCCCTAATAAAATTTGTATGGTTATTTTGCTTAACGACGTTTCCGACGGGTATCATCCAAATCATTTATGGAATAGTTCAATCATTTGGGTTATTGGGTATGGTATTTTTTATTAGGGATCCCAAATCAATTGTGTGAGTTCAGCTCTGTGGGAAATTCCATTACGATTGTGAAGACGATTCAAGGATCCGGGAAAAATACCAAAGGGAATCGTATTTTAACTTTATCTTTTATTTTTAGTGGTACAATTGCAAAGAAATTGAAGTTTGCATGAAATACCGGACAATTGCTAATCGGGTTTAGCTGGTCACCATGCATTATTTTTAAATTTCTTAAAGCTTGCTTATCAGTAACTGAATTCGATATTCCAATCATCAACAAACGTTAATCACAACAACAATAATAACAATCACAATAATCACAAACCCAATGATACCCAAGTTTTGTGCAAATCTTATACATTTTTAATGCTTTTATAACTTTCATTGATCAACTTATTATGCATTTTTTTTTTATTCTAAGCATAATTATGCTTTATATTGCTTGTGGAATTCAGTTTGATCTATTCCAAGAAGCATAACGCATTTAGTTTTTGCTAGAGGAGACTTGAGCTTGGACAGTTATTAACAAAAGACAAAGTCGACTAAGAGAATCGATCATCGCGCTACGCCTTTATGCATGCTCACTGTCGATATACAGCCATTCCATAGCAAAACTATATAGTGGTTCTCAGAATTTCGTAAAAATTGGTAGTTTTATTCCTTTATGCAAAATGTTAGAGCCGTGTTTTTTTGTCACTAGGGTGACCAAACATTTTTCCTTGAAAATTTAGCCTTTTTTACACAACAAATGAAAAACTCAGCCTTGCGTTTTTTTTCGATTTAGAGCTATATTTTTTTTTGAAGTTAGGTACCAAGTTTTGGGTTTTCGCTCAATACTTCTATGCGATTAGACTACCATGAGTCAGGACCATGTTACAGTCGCTATAAATAAATGGAGACGCATGGTTGTCTATTTGCATAGGAGTATTGAGTGAAAACCCAAAACTTGATAACTTCAAACAAATATAACTCAAAAACGAAAAACAAAAACACATCTTGTAAAAATAGCCTAAATTTTCAAGGAAAATTTTTTGGTCCCCTAATGACAAAATAACAAAAGCTAATAAATCATCACACTAAAGCTTCATGTTAGCATTTCCAACCAACTCTGAAAATCGCTAACTTCACGTATGAAGTAACATAAAAACACTAAGAATGTAACAACTCAAGGCGGGAGTAGCCGTCAACAATGCTGATGATGGTACAGCACGCAACAACCACCCTACTGCTTTCTCTCTGAGATGATCACGTTGGTCATGACGAGAGGAGCAACACAATAGTTGGGTAAAGAAGAACTGCATTATAACACACCATCGACTGGAAATGCTCTCGCAGCGTGGGGCTTTAGGTAGTGATGAAAAACGTCGCTAGAACTATTCCACAGCCGCAGTCAGTTTATGAGCAAAAGAGGGACGCACATTTTTTGCCTGTAGACTTGGAGACATACTTCAAGTCTCCGCGTACATCGTACGGGCAAAAGATGTGCGTCTATCTTCAAAAAACTGTCGCATTAATGGCCCTTCGCTCATTTTCAACTTCTATTCAATTTTCACACTGCCGTACTCTAACGGAACTATCCACCTACCCTTTTCTAAAGATCATTCTCTAGCTAACAAATCATCATACTAAAGCTTCATGTTAGCATTTCCAACCAACTCCGAAAAATAAAGTTATAATATTTTGCATTAAGGATCAAAACTACAAAGTTTTATGAAATTCTGAATTCTATACCGTTTTGCTATGGAATGGCAAAAAATATTTATAAAATTTAAAACTGAGTCTGTAAGCAGTTTGAAGTTTTAGTAAGTTAAATTTTAGTGAAATGCTCAATTTGGATCATTTTTGTAGTTAACGGATTTCAGTGGCCACCTTGGTCGAGCCGAGACGGGACCCTCCTTGGTAATTAAGGCCATCGGCCTGAGGGAATCGTCCCTGATGGACGATCGAGGATCATTTACTATAAGACTCGGAAGCCATCTTGAATTCCGAGCCGAGCCGTGTGAGACCGTTTTAATTACGGTACGAGGTACTGAACGGAGGCAGTCCAACATCCCAGAAACCCCACATACATACAGACGAAAATCCACGGATTGTAACCAACTGATTACAAATCACAGAAATCAGTGAAGTATACTTAGTGTCTAGGGTCATTGCAGTTCAATAAATGATCAAACTTCTTTAATGTACCCGCCATCACTGGCTGGATTAAGAATCCTTAACTAGGCTATCAAAGGTTCCAAGCTGCCGAAAGCTCTCCATGTTTTGGTTATTCTACTCTGAATAGATTATTCCCTCTAATTTTTGATATTATGATTTAATTTAACTATTTTGTTCTGCGTGAAGTGAACGATTTACATAGTTGAAGATGCTAATTTCAAATAACAGACTAACTTGGTAATTTTTATACGATAGATGAGGAGCTGAAAGTATAGAGTTGATAGTTCCGTTAGAGTGCGGCAGTGTGAAAATTGTATATAGAGAGTAGAAAGCGAACAAGGACAACTTTTTAGGAAGGTACAAATCGTTTTGATCAGCTCTCTTTACCAAACTCCCCAGTTGGAGAGGGATGGAGAGGGGTATTCCCCCCACCACCAATGGCAAAAAAAGATGATCACCGATTTGCCCATGTACCTACGATGTGTTGAAACAGTTCGTCGTTATCTGAAGGGAGCAAGGAATCAAAAATATCTTCAAATGACAAAATAACAAGCGATCAACGAACCGAATGATAACGCTATGTCAGAAGTGGAATGCAATAATGATATAATCTTCTTGCTTTTTTCATGATAGGCAACCCGTACGACACAGCTAACTCGGGGCGGTAGAAGGAAACGAGCAAATTGTTAGCAAGCTGCTTCACGAAGTAGAGCCGAAGATGATACACGTGTGTTAATGGGATTTCTTTTGTTATGTTTTTTCTCGATTCAGATCAAGCTATGTCCTCATCCGTGTAAATTGCAACAAAGCAGGCAAGTAATTTATCATTATCCTTCTACCACTCCGATCGAGCTATGTTACAGAGCGAGTTTATCATGGCAGACGTAGCAACCGTTTTGTCTGTATCGTTGGTTGCTTTACGTGTTTGGATTCGCTGGAAGGGAGGCATCTAGTCGTAGGTTTTGGAAATTGCAGCTATTGTTGCCTCTACCACTGTATGTGCTCCTCCAACTGTATTATAATTTGTTTATTGCTGAGAATTCGCAGTTATATTTCAAATCAATTTCCTATTATGTATCCGTATCGAATATAGCATTTATATGACTATCTTTTGAACAAGGCTTAGAATGCACTATACTATACAGAAATGTTGAAGTGGTTGTAAGCGAACATATCAAGCATACTATTTAGTTGAAATGTAGTTCCAGCTTTAAGCGACCCTGTTTTCAAAAAAATGCTCCGGCTGTTTTTTTTTTCAGAAACTGGAATTGTAGAATCAGATTTAAGAATTTGTACTTGAAAAGATATTGCGGGTCTTATTGAATTACATTTATTATTATGTTATCTCTTCAAAATGTAGTATAATCAGAACTGAGTCTCTATTGTTCTCTGAGCCCAAATTTAAATATATTCGTTAATACCATATCGTCCTTACTTTGAATATTTTGGCTTATTGTACTGTAATATAATATAGTTATCTTAACTTCACTCTTCAGTACGATTAAAACTGCTGCAGGATTGGCGTAGAAATTAAAAATCACGATTTACTGGCGCATACTGTAACTGATTGCTGTAAGCAATTCGAGACAACTTTCGGAAAGTTGAAGATAATTAACTCAACCATAATGGACGAACGAAAGCGTCAAATTATCAGAACTCACAGTAATATCAGATCTGTGACGGTTTTTGCAAAATTCCGTTACATTTCGAAAAAAAAAATTAAAAAAATCTTCTCAAAATTGTCCGCTTTAAGCGAAACTTAACGAAACCTAAAACAAGCGAAACAGATTCAAAGTATTCAGCTGAGAAATCTCTCAATTAACAACTGTGAAAGTGCTCGGCGTAAAGTCCCATTGGGGACGTAATAAATCCAAAGAGGAAGATCTAATGATTACATAATTCCGATCATCAGTCGACTTCTTTAGCTAAGATAACACACCGAAAAGATGCCACCTTTATTACCCTTCTTTGACAGGAAATCGCAAATCAACTCACGTGGATACTTAGATAATGGCTTCTCCTCCTCCATCTCGGCGGCAACGGTCGCATTCTTCGGCAGTAGCTCCTTGGAGTAATCCGTGAAAAAGCCAAACACCACTATGAACACTATCTGCACCAAAAGCAGCAGGACATATCCGGACACGGAAGATCCTGGCGTATGCATTCTGATGTGATTTCACTTGTTCTTGTCCAGCAGAAAAAAAGATCACAAGTTCACAGGCGCGAAGAAAATTCAAATCTCCAAATCCCGAATTTTCCAACCGCTATCGGTTCGACCGCTCGAAGCAGACTGATTCCGACGACCGACTTGCAACGGTTGATCTCCCCGAAAAAGCATCCAAATCAACGCATATGGCGCACGGGATGATTCGCGCACCGTAACATTATGATTATTTTGATGGACAGCAAACAAATTTCTGAAGTGGATTATCTCTCCTCTCGCTGTATCCAGGCCCCCCTAGTAGCGAAGAACGCTCGCTGTTGACTGACTGCTTGCCTGACTTTTTGTGGTGATAAATTAAATCTAAATTGTACGGTAAGCAACCCCTTCGCATGTACGGTCCACAGGCCATCGTTGGACTATGTGGAGACGATGGATCTAGAAATTGTTCGGGAGATCCATTCCGCTGCGTTATCTCGCCGGTCCTATAGAGGTGAAAATGCGCCAGTAAACAAATTATGCAAACAGTAAATCGTTGCCGCCGCCACCACCGCCGTCGTCGTCGTTAGATCGAATAAGCTGAAATTCACACTCGCAAACTAAAATTGAATGCTACTTAGCATAGAGCGGCTAGTTTGCCCGAGCTAATATTGAATGTAATCCTATTATTTCCGGCAGGGAAAATCTTGAAAAACCAGCGGTATCGACTATGGGTAAAACTACCATTCTTAAGCTTAAAATGTTGCATGTTGGGAAAAGCAGACAGACCCTTGAGCTGCCGTGCTTGTTGATAAAAAATTCAAGTTCCTAAAGCAATTTGTTGATCAAACACATATCACATTTCACATTTACTTGGTAAATTGGTTGGTCCGCACGCGGTCAGTACAATTGATTTAAATGGCGAGAAGCATCCATTTTTAATTTGTGGGAGCAGCAATTGAGACCGCGGTCCTTGAATCGATTCTGCCGAAGAAGCGTGCCCGTGCCATGAGTGAAAGGGAATCGTTTCGGGAAAGAGTTTAATTTATGACTAATGTTAGTAGCATAGAAAAAATTTCAATGATATAATCGATGATTTGTAATGAATTTACTTGCTTGTTTACTTAGTTTATCGGTTTGAAAAGTGTTTTCATCGTTTATTGACTATTGAAGAGATACAAGTCATTTTAATACCTGAAGATATGATACTGTTGAAACTTCTTTAGCTTGGATTGTACACTCTTTGAACTCGATTTCTTACGGAGAACCTTAAGCTATGTTTTACCGAATAGAGTACAGTTACGAATCGTCCTGCATCATCGCCGGAGTGTATGAGTTGACGTTCTCGATTGGTGTTTGCAGGACCAGTTTACGGAATACGAGATATGACAGTCCTCCGATTAGAATTTGACCAATTCCCACTAAAGTGACGATGGCCCACGCTGGAATGGCCGTCCCACCTGTGAAATCGTAGGTAATATAGTAAATAGAGTTAACTGAACATAATTTGCTCTGATTAAATCTTACGCTTTTGGGTACGAGTGATGGTACGGCGCCCTCGAAGGATCTTACGTCTGGCCTCGGTTTCATCCAGGCACAAGCTTAGCACCACTGAAAATAGGATAGTTTAAGTAGATGAATCATCGTGGATGTGGAATGGTGAGTTTTAGTTTGAAATGGTTAATCATATGTGGGAAATTGAATTACAGTGATGATAAATCTCATTCATTCGTCACTATCATGAAACTTTTGATCGGGCTACCAAAGTAAACAGGCCCGGTGGTTCTTACTAAAATGGATAACAATTATTTGAATAAAGGTGAAACTTTATCATTGACTAAAATAATAAAGAGATACTGGCGAAGGTTCACGAAATGATAATTTTCTGATAATATCGTGTTAAATCTTGACAGACTACAGATGTTATGTCTCAACGTCTTAACTGATTTCGCCTGTCTTCAACTTAATTGGTGGTCCTTGAGCGCTTCCTCAGTTGTTAATAAAGCTGCTTCTAAATCTGGCAGCAGCTCTTCTGGACAGCTACAGTACTGCTGCAACTAAATAGTGTTTCCAATGAGAATGATAGATTGCTTGATTTATGTTTTCTTAGCCGTGAGGTTGCTTCTAGTTGCTCGATTTATGGGGTGCCTGAGCCACTAGTTAAGCGTTGTAGGCATCACCCATCTCTGGAGATATCATTGAAATTGAACCAGGCATTTTCTTTTCGTAACACTATGGATAGCATTTCATATGACTACTGGAAGGCTTACTTCGATGGAATGACTGCCTTTTTCGAGAGCATAAACTGGGATGAAGAACTGCGTGATGATGACTCGACTATTTTTACGAATATTGTTGTTTATGCAATCGACCAGTTCGTACCGAAGAAATTTCCAGTCATACCAACTCACCCTCCATTGTCAAACCCTCGTTTGAAACGTCTTAAATCATCTAAACTGGCTGCCTTGAAAAAGTTTTGCAAACTGCAAACTGACGTGTCGAGAAAGAAATACATACGCATTAACAAGCAGTACAAGCAGGTCAACAAGCAACTCTACCTAGAACACCAGCGTCAACAACAAAATAAGCTCAAAACTTATCCTAAAAGCTTCTGAAATCACGTGAAATATCAACGAAAGGAATCGGGTCTGCCCTCCAAAATGTTCAACTAGGATCGAGAAATGTCTAATGTGGATGGTATCACGGATCTATTCAGGTCACATTTCTGCAGTGTTTTCGTCAACGAGGAGCTCTCTGACGAACACGTTTCAGATGCAGCAAGTGAGGCTTCCATACGTTCAGTCGTTGAATCTCATCCACCTTTATCGAGAGATGACGTTCAAACAGCATGCCTTCGCTTATTTTTTTTCCAGTATTGGTCCGGATGGAATTTCACCTGTGGTGATTAAAAACTGTATAGGAGCCTTGAGCGCACCACTAGCATTTATATTCAACCTCTCGTTGAATTCTGGAATCTTCCCTGATGGCTGGAAGAATTCTTTTGTTTTTCCTGTCCAAGAAAGGCGATAAACAGTCAGTTATCAACTATCGATGCATTGCGGCTCTGTGCGCAGTTTCAAAACTTTTTGAGCTGATAGTTTTGGATTATTTTAAACACACTTGCTCCAGTTACGTTGCCTCCGAACAACATGGATTTATGCAGAAGAGATCCACTGCATCACATTTCGTGCAATATACATCTTTTATAATTCGCGAGCTTGAAAAAGGCGAACAAGTTGATACTATCTACACGGATCTGTCTGCTGCGTTTGATAAAATGAACCACAAGATTGCTGTTGCCAAATTAGAGCGATTAGGCTTCCATGGTCCCCTTCTTAATTGGCTTCGTTCTTACCTCACCGGTCGTCAAATGTCAGTGAAAATAGGTGACCGTATTTCTCAGTCGTTTCCGGTTTCTTCTGGTGTACCCCAAGGTAGTCATATTGGGCCGTTCGTATTTCTGCTGTATTTGAATGACATTCTCTATTCAATCAGGTGTCCGAAGCTATCTTACGCGGATGATTTTAAACTGTATTTGGTCGTAAAGGATCGTAGTGATTCAGTTTTCCTTCAACAACAGCTGGACGTTTTTGCTACTTGGTGTCACAAGAATAGGGTGGTATTGAATGCTTCCAAATGTTCCATCATCACTCCTGCGTTCGAACATTGACTGTAGTCCACTTTTGCAACAGCTTAACATTAATATAAGACGAGTCAATTTGCGAACCCACTCTTTCTTTACGATCCCGACTTCTCGCACAAACTATGGTGCAAACGAACCAATTACTAGCTTGTGTTAAATTTTTAATAAATGTTATAACTTTTTTGACTTCAATGCTTCCCGTGCTAGCCTTAAGTATTTATTTTACAATGTTTTATCATCCTGATTGAGTAAAGATAAATGTTTCCTGATTTAGTTTAATTATATATGTATCTGTAGGATTTTATGTTATCTGTTGATACGAAAAGAAGAGGTTTTCCGCTCACTTGAGAAGGGGCAAGGTTGGTCCTTCTGAAGTGGACTTTTCCCTCGCAAATAAATAAATAAATATACAATGATAATGTATGCCTAGGGGAGTCGAAACATTTTCCATCCCGTAAAATTCCTAGCCTGAAATTCGAACTCGTCACCGCCGGCATAGTCTTGCGTTGAGCTTGTGTATTTAATGACTGAGCTAAGGGAGGCCCCTCTGAGCCACTAAATGGTTGCAAAAAAAAAGCTGTAAACTCAGCCCCAAACAACACAAACACTTGCTTTATCACAGAGTGTGCACATCGAGGTACGCAACAGAGCGTTCACAGTGCGGCACATGAAAGCTTTTGACGGTTTACCGATGACTATTAACTTTTTATACAAGAGAAAAGATGAAAATAAAGACGGAATTTCAAATGTCTTTTTGCATGCTCGGCACGAATTCAGCAGCAAAGCTGATTAAAATCAATTTTAAACAAAATATGCGATACTGGCAGCATCGGCGTAGGCGTATTGGGATTGTCTAAGGGACCAGTCGCTTTGAATTGAGTATTGATCTTGTGCTTCATTCCTTGGTAGATTAAGGCTTGCAGTCAAATTTCAATATCCTGATCTAATAAATCTTTCTGCATGCAAACAAACTGCTGGGATGGGTTTCTTACACTTCTGTGTATGCTTTTAACGACAAACGGACTAACCAGATCCACGACAAATTTCGAATCTGAAAAACTCGACTCGGCAGGAAACAATATTTGAGATATTTTAAATCGTTTTCTGTGCAAAAATTACATAAAAAATTATAAAAGTTTATGTAAATCATTTGAAAATATGTGGTGGCCGAAGATATTCCGGATTTTTGGGGGTCATGTCAAAAACAGTTTTTTTTTCATCGCTTGTATTTTTGTCAGGTATGAAAGTTTATTTGATTTCATATTTCTTCTAGAATCAATTTTGAATTAAATGCTGGCCACAGATTCAAGATCTGTTGAGAAACAACCGAGATCTACCCATTAATTTGAAACCGGTTCCGGTAAAGTGACCACGTCAATATGGGTATCAATCCTTATGATTTTTCTGCGCGATATCTTCAGAATCGTTTTCAGTGTCATAAGTTGCGGTGGCCATCCTGGAGCATGTTCTGACCGGAACCATATCAACATGGCAGTCAAACTTCAAGATTTTGCAAGCTTTGAGATGGATAATAACTAGGTAGGTCATGACTTTTCATACACATTTCCTGACAGTTGGTGAAAGGTCATTTGGATTCAAGCAGCTGCACGGGTAAGTTGGACATTGATTAGCTGCGTCGTGGGTGATTTGCCCATAATTAATATTGGCGGATTTTCACATTTCTGGCGATCCTGCCAGGAGACGAACCTGGAATCTTGGAGACCCACTTGCATGGACAATAGGATAAGAACGCGACCGGGACGGCCGTTCTGAATGCGAGTGAGGACGAATTTGCAAAAATCGTCTCCTTGCCATGGCAAAGCCACAGGAGAGAACGCGACCGGGATGGTCGTTCTAAGAAAACGAGTCAGGAAGGATTTGAAAAAAAAAAAATCATCTCGTGGTGACACTGCCACAGGATAAGAACGCGACCGGGACGGCCGTTCTAAATGAGGACGGATTTGCAAAAATCGGCTCCTCACCGTGGCAAAGCCACAGGAGAGAACGCGACCGAGACGGCCGTTCTGAGAAAATGAGTGAGTCCAGCTTAATGCTGCTAACAGAATTGTGAAGGTAACCACACCGGAGGTAACGGAGCTCTCGACGGAGCCAATCTGAATCGCGGTATTTATAAACGCGATCGGAACCGCCAGCAGGGGAGAAGTATGCAATTCCGGCAAAACCAAGTAAGGATGAAATTTATGAAGGAACAACAAGCAAATACAAAGAGAAGGTAGTAATCAAACGTTGGCAACCGGTATCTAGATCCTAGATACGCATTTGCATGCTGCTGGAAATTATTTGATGGACGGTGAGGATAAACGGATTAAAAGTAAATAGTTTAGAGCCATGATAATGAAGAAGAGCAGCACTATTTATTTTTGTGTTGTTAATGAACAATCTCTGTGATTTCCTGAATCTCCTGTTTATTTATTAGGATGTTCAAAAGTTCAAAACCATGGACGTAGTCGATTGACTCTCCCACCAAAATATGTTTAGCAAACTTAGATGAATTCAGTACCCAAAAGTTAAAGCTAACACTAGGAAGTAACTGAAATCTAGCCCCGTAACGTTGGTAGATCACCTTTTCGTGGTACGTTACGGGATGTAAGATCTACCACCGATTCCTAGTCCTGACTTCTTCAAACTAGGGGAACAGGTTTTTTTCAGCAATCAAAGGAACACATCTTAGTCCTTGTTACTTTTTATGCCTTGTTGATAGTGATAAGTCCTCGGGTTGCCTGGACCGAGGATGACCTTGAAACAAGGAAAAAATGAGTTAGTTAGTATTCACCTATGTATGTGATTCATAATCTTCTATTCGTTGTTCCCTAGTTTGAAGTGGTTAAGACTAGGGTTCTGATGCATGGTCATTATCGGTTTCATAGCTTGTTTTTGTTGCTAAGGAATCCAATTTTGACTGACAAAGGGGCGCGCCTTTGGAGGGTGTTTCAACACTCCGAAGGGT